TTAACACAGACAGAGACAAGTGTTCCCTTGTTGTACAGTGATGACAGAGCACTTTAGCTCTGTGATCTGATTCCCCGAAAACTACAACCCCAGTCGAACGAAGAGAAAAACAAGTAAATCCCAATGCAGGTCTATGTACAAAATGTCTGACCAATCCTCCTCAACATTGTCCAGGTCATCAACACATGTCCCAGCCAAGGAGAGCCTAAAGAGATGTGATGATCACATGTCATGTGCTGTCCTGCCCAGGAAACTGGAGCTGGAACAAGTAGAACCGAGGGAACCTGAATAAGGTATGGACTTCAGTAAATAATAAGGTACCAACATTTGTTCATTAATTGTGGCAATCCTGACAAAAAAAATGGAAAGAGTAGAAATTAAAGGTCAGGTAAGAGAAACCTATTGCATCAGAAAGGAAGGCTAGAGGAAATAGGTGATTTCCTAATAAAAATGCACATTAACAAAATGGACTCTAAAATAAGGGGAAAGCAAGCAGGCAATTGACCATCCAAGAGCCTCTTCCTCCTGCTGGTTCTCCCCTCACTGTTCTGGGGTTTTCCTCTCTGGAGACAAAGAAGGAACAAGGCAGAGCTGTTTTGGAGCTGTCCTGAAACCGGCCCCACCTATCGTCGTCTTCTCCCCCAGCCATGCTACTCCCAGTAAGGACACTATGCAAGGGAAGTCTCAGGGACTGTCAATCCTGATGCACCTACTGAAGTGAAATAAATCAATATTTTTTAACGGTAGAAATACATTAACACTTGCAAGAGGCAAGTTAAGACTGGGTTTGGACTTGGCAGGCTCAGGGGCTCACTCTCTCACAGTGTGACTTGGACCCTCTCCGACCCTCCATCCTGCTAAGTGCTATGGGGAGGAGCCGTTCATAGGCACAGTCTCTCTCACTGCTTCTGGGGCTTCCCATAACTCCAGGCTGACACTCACTCGCCATCCATTCTAATGGGAAGAGTTTCTCTTTCTCTTGGGTTCCATGAGGTCATGGATTTAAGTGTCTTTGGCCTGGCTTGGGTCATACTATCATCCTTGAAGCCATCAGAGCACCCAGAGGACAGAGCACAGGGTTGGGTAGACTTGGATCATGTGTCCATCTTTGAGGTGGGTGGAATGTGGGGTCTGCCCTCCGGAACTGTTTGGATGGGAGGCAGGCAAGAGGTGGTTCCCAAAGGGAAGCTGAGATGCTGGCTTTGGACATGAGAACAGATGCTGGGCTGGAAAAGCAGCAGATCCCACATCACTGGTGGGTGACTACACGGCTGTGGAATCTGAAGCCCAGGAAAGGAAGGGGCCCACTTAGGGTCAGGGGCTGAAGCCACCCATCCAGTGTTCTTCTTGTCCTCCCATGATGGCAAGACCCTCTTCCAACTGCTGAAAAAGCGGTTTGCTGTTGGTGGGAAACTCAAGGCTCCTGCCCTGGGCATTGAGTCCTCATTTATCAGAGACTGGAAGGCACACAGACCTCACTCGTATCCCTGGGAGGAGGGAAGCCTGGGAGTCATCCCTGCCCCCACAACATTAATCATCCAACCCCCAGAAAACAAACTGGCTCATTTCCAGTCTCTTCTCTCTCCTTTACAATGAGCAGAGACCAAACGTGAGGGTGGTCAGGAAATTATTGTTCAGTGAAGCAGTGGGAGGCTTGAGGATTTTTCCACAACACAGAATCCACACCTGGAAGGCCGCTCAAGGGCCAAAGACCCTGGGTCATGCATGCAGCTCTCTGAGACCATGCAGTCCCAGGGAGATACTGCCTGCTGGGAGACACAATTGTTCCTATGTCCTTGATTCCTAACAAGTATGCATTTCAAAAATTTACATTATGACCATGGCCAAAGGACTATAAGGACAGTCTGCTGCATGGCTGTTGTAGCCAGAGCCACATTCTGTATTTGGAGGATTAATCTCTCTCTTAGCAGGCTCAGAGACTGTGAGGGAGGAAGCACTTGTCTCAACCACATAGACGCTGGGAATGAAAACATCCTAAGGAGCTGTCTACACGGTCTGTGGGCCTATTACACTGCCTGGGAATGCAGTCATCTCAGTAAATGTTGTGGGGTTTGTCAAGACCAAGGTTGGCCAGAGCTGGAGGACCACAGGTGCCTGTACGGATGCTCCGAGGTCAAGGGCTCTTCTGAGACTTCGTTGTCTGCTCCTGATCACTTGGATGGGATGAAGGATCCAGCCAGTGCCAGGAGGGCACCGCCAGCCCACAAGAAAGCTGAACAAAGGGGCTGGTGCACACCTCATCCTATATAAATCCACACATGCCTACTGAGTGCCCTGTGCTGGAGACTGGGAATCCCCAGGCAGAGTGGAGCCAGCAGCACCCTTTATAGGTGGGAGGGTGGGAGGATCCTGCATGACCTCTGAGGCCATCCACAACCCATGATTCAGGTTGAGTTGGATTTGTAACAGTCAGTGGCCAGCCCCATATTTCTCTCTTCTTTTAGAGCCCAACACTGAGGGGAATAAAAACAATGCTCCCCAGACCAACTTCTGATGCATGTGTGACCATGAGAGTCATGTCCATCCTAAAGGCTAAGAAAGAGGAAAAAAGAGAAGAAAGAGAAGAAAGGAAAGGAGACCACTTATAATCAAGCCAGACCCTGACCCTGACCCAGAACCCGGCCCTGACCTAAACACTGACCTTGATGCTGACCCAGAATGTGAGACTGACCCGGACCTACACTAAGACCCTGACCCAGATCCTAACCCTGACCCTGACCCTAAACCCTGACCCTGATATTGTCCACCAAATAAGGAATATCAAGTGAGTATAACAAGAAATTACTCCAAAAGAAAGGTCCAGTTTTGGTTGTGGAGATTCAAATGTCTGGCTGAGCATTTGGTACTCTGACGGCTCAGCAAAACCACTAAAGACCCTCAACAAAGGTGAGGATACCTAATATACCAATTTTCCATCCAGGGATGGGTGAAGTCTCTGTTCTGGATGGTTTTCAAAGGGCAAACGAGCCTTTCCCACTAGCAACACATGAGAGACTGTCTTACAGTTGTGACCTCAGGGCACTTCTATTCCACTTCATTTTCTCCTCAGTGTTTTGGGAAAACACCTTTTGCTCTTTATAGACCTAGAATTATTAAGTGGTCCCTGTAAGTTCCCTTCTGCATGTGGAAGAGTCTGGTGCCTAGGCAATCTGAGGTCAGTGGAGTGTGGGAGCACATGTGCTCAACAGCAAAATGACTCGTCCTTGCCGGGGCTGATTCAGTGCAGGTATTCCAGAATACTGGTAACTCATGGGAATCGACCTGCCAGCTTGCTCCCTTTACTTGAGGGTGATGATGTGAGTCACAGGGTCATCAGCTGAACCTCTGCAAAATAGACTCGCAAAAAATCCTTTGCCTTGAGGTGACAGTGTGGGGGGTGCTAGATCACGTCCAGAGGGGAGGTGTGTGCTTCAGTGGAGGGGTGGGAAGGAGACACAGGGGCCAGAAAGGTCACATTGGAGAACATCCACTTGGAGACTTAGGGAGAGGAGTGGAGATGGTATCGATTTCTGAAATGAAAGCTGATGTTTTCAGATCCATTGTAATGAAGACAGAAACTAAAGCTGAGTCATAGGCTACAGCTGATCTGACAGTAAATTAGGGGAAAGAGGGGAAGACAGATCTGAACATTTGCCCACTAAACATGTTACAATTCGTGATACATTGATTCCAAGTAAAAAATGTTCAGTAATTAAAGATAAAAAGCAGAGGGATCTACAGTAGGAACTGAAACAGATCTCCCAAATGGGTTTGTTTTGAAGGAGTGTCTCTGGCATTATTTCATCTTCATATGATTGAATTATGTCTATCAGAAAAGAGGAGAGTATGTCACAGACTGGAGGTGTGAAAAGTCACTGGATTCTCTAAGCAATCTGGGACTCCACTGCTGGAAGGACAAGTTTGTTGGGTAAAACTGGGTTGGAGCAGGCAGTCCTCACTGGAGTGAAGCAGAACATTCTTTGACGATCTGCTTTTACGCACTGTTCCCTGACCTCGACAGAGAAGAAACTGGTTTTTCTCCCTCAGAACGCAGTTCACATCTACAAATACCCTACTTAGAAGGGATGTGGCTTCCTCAATTTCAAGAACCTACTTGCTAAAAATAGACATTCTCAGGGTTCCTGGGGGGCTCAGGTCAGGGTCCCAGGCTCCTGGGATCACTGCTCAGCGGGGAGCCTGCTGCGCCCCCCACTCGTGTTCTCTCTCACTCCACTCTCTCTCCCTCAAATAAGTAAATAAAATCTTTTAAAATTTTTTAAAAGAGAAACATTCTCGTGTTGTTTTTCCTTCAGCAAAACAGAACTGAATTTCGTTGCTCAAGACTCTAAGAAGGATCCACATGCCCTTCGGGAAACAAACCACCGCCCCAGACGTGACACCGAGACGGAAGATTGTTACTATGTTTTCACGCTCAAGTTTAAGTAGAATTAAAGGAACTTGCTCTCAGAAGAAAGGAAACGTTAGACGCAATTCGGCTATAAAATAACTCCCGAAAATAGAAGCGTCGGGGCCAAGGCTCCACTCGCTCACGTCCCGGCCGGGACGGCCCTCCCCGCGCAGAGGGGCGCGGCCGGACCCCGCAGGTCACCGGCGCGGCGAGCGGGCCGCCCTCGAAGGAGCAGGGAGCGGCTCCGCGGCAGACTGCCAAGCGTCAGACTTGTTGCATTTAGAACTGGAATTTTCTTGTCAATTTTTACTTAAAAAAATAAAACTCTCCGTGTTCCACGTGGCAAAGGGCCCCACGTCCAAAAGGCAGGGAACAGGCAAAAACGACACTAAGGACACCGTGGAACTACTCGCTGAACTTGCACACGCCTCTCCCGGGGGGTCTTTCAACTCCTCGCCCCGCCCCCAGGTCACGGGACCGGAAGTCGTTCCTTAGTCCCGCCCCCTCTCCCGGGCAGCTCCACCCACCCCCCCACGCCCCGCCCGCTCCAGATACCCGGTTCTGCGCTGACTTCCGCCTTCCGGCAGCGGAGGCGGTCCCCGCGCACGCCGGCCCCGATCGCCGTATGGCGGCCGCCCGTGCGGCTGAACTAGGCTTCGTGGAGGCGGCGCCGGCGTGGCGGCTGCGCAGCGAGCAGTTCCCAAGCAAGGTGGGCGGGCGGCCGGCGTGGCTGGGGGCGGCCGGGCTGCCGGGGCCCGAGGAGCTGGCCTGCGCGCTGTGCGGCCGCCCGCTGGTCTTCCTGCTGCAGCTGTACGCGCCGCTGCCCGGCCGCGCCGACGCCTTCCACCGCGGCCTCTTCCTCTTCTGCTGCCGGGCGCCGCCGTGCTGCGCGGGCCTGCGCGGTGAGCGGCCGCGGCGGCCGGGGGCCGGGGGGGGGGGGGGACGGTCCCGCGCGGCGGGCGGGGGCGGGGGCGGGGAGGGGTGGGGGGAGTGGGGGTCCCGCGCGGCGGGCGGGGGCGGGGAGTGGGGGGGGTCAGCCCCCACCCCACCCCCCCGGCACCTCCCGCGCCCCGCCCCTGGGCTCGTCGGTGCGGGCGAAGGCAGTCGGCGCGCTTCCCCCGACATCACGGACCGTCGTCCGGAAAGCTGGGCCCGCACGGCGCCCCGCACTTCTGCCGTCCGCGTGGCGGAACCCGGAGTCCGACAGAGACCGGCTCCGACTGCTGTGGTGCCGAACTGGCTTCGTGCCCCGACAGAAGATCCGATCCCTGAAGTCAAAAAGCTCCTGTTTCTCTGTTTAAGGAATTCGGGTCTTTTCAGCCCCCTGGGGCCGGAGGCTCCGATACGCGGATTGCGGGATTGTCTTATTTGTGATACAACATTTCTCCTCATTCTCTCTTAGTTTTCAGGAATCAGCTACCCAGGAAAAACGACTTTTACTCCTACGAGCCGCCTTCCGAGGACCCTCCTGCAGAGACGGGAGAGTGCGCGCGCCTCCAGCTCCAGTCTGGTGCTCATCTCTGCAGGGTTTGTGGCTGTTTAGGCCCCAAAACGTGCTCCAGATGCCACAAGGCACATTACTGCAGCAGGGAGCACCAGACTCTGGACTGGAGATCCGGGCATAAGCAGGCTTGTACACAGTCCGGTGAGCGACTCATTTGAAGTCGTAGCTCAGTTTTGTAGCATCTGTCAACCCAAGTTTTTGGTTTTGAGATTAAAAGTTACGATGAGAGAAGGCATTATGCTTTTCAGAGTCGTAGTAACGGATACCGGGAACACCTCTGTGAGAGAGGAGCCCTGAGGTCTTGCCTGCTCAGTTATGTCCCAAACTTGCTTTAATACAGGCGTTTAATTTATGACCTAAATTGTAGGGACTGTGTGTGTTGATTTATTAGGGAAAACTGCTGCTGCATCCAGTATACGTTAGAAATGGGAGACAACTGGATCCTCTTTAAAACTGTATGATTAGTAGTGATGCTAGTTACCTTCTCTTGTTTCAGATTATTTGGACAAAACAATTCCAGACCACAACTTCCTTTTTCCAGAATTTGAAATTGTAATAGAAACAGAAGATGAGATTACACCTGAAGTTGCTGAAAAAGAAAATGAACCAGAAATCATGGGGAGCATGGGTAAGGAACCAATTTTAGAACTTGATTCACTAAGTGATTAAGGAAAAGGCTGGAAAGAAAAGGCTCAGTACGTCAAAAAGAGAGGCAGGTACTGACAGGAAGTGAATGCAGTCCTGTAGCCTATGATTCTCAAACACTATCGTTTGACAGTATCCTTCCTATCCCTCTCCTCCTTGGCATATGTATCAGGTAGATTCTGGTTCTGATGAAGACATGTCAGGGTAAGTATGCAGGTGGTCATTTGGGTAAGGCTCCTCCGCAAGATGCTGCAAATTTGGTAAGCTCCTCTGGATCCCAGATCTGTTTCTCAGATTAAGGTCAAATACGGAAGACACATGGCGTAGTGTTTGGCGAGCAGGTGCCCTTTAAATGTTTCTCTCATCTACCCAATTTTCCAGGTTACCTAGAGATGATGATGATATGCTAAATGTGGTATCTGGGTCGACCAGATACCTAAGAGAAGGGTTAGTAGCCAGCATTTATCCGGGTCTTACTCTGCATCAAGGGCTTTTTGTGCACGATCTCATTAAAAATCCTGAAAGCAGTATAGTGAGTTAGAAACTGTACCTCATTTTGCAGTGAGAAGTTTGAAGTTTTCTGGGTAACATGGTCATGTAACCAAAGTTGTTAAAGATTCAGAACTGCAGTTTGAGCTCACATGTTGTTGACTCCAGAATTTGAGCACTTAACTACCACAAAATTGGGTTTTAGAGTCTAAATCAGTCTTTAGAATATCACCTTATTGGTTTATAGTTCCTATTCAGGTGATAGCAAAAATATACTTTGGTACATGTAACACAGACTAAATCCTATTGAGGACAACTGTGGTTCAGAGAGCTGGGATTCCAGGAGAGGAGTGGGCAGAGAGAACAAGCTGGTAGGTTCACAGAGTGAGTGATGGTGGAGTGAGTATACCAGCTGGGAAAAGACATGAGTGAGACATGAAGATATGGGGATGGGCCAGGCAGCTTAAGGGCAGTAGTGAAAACAAAAGGCATTAAAATAGGAAAGAGCCTGTGGGGAACATGGGGCTTTAATCTCATTTAACATGAAGTTGGTTGTTTGAAATTTCCTACCCGCAGCATGTGGGAAATAACAGGTCATGGGCACTAATCCTATTGCCCTAACAGTTGTGCTGATATTTTTCAGGTGAAGCACTTGAGGAGGAATTGGATTCCATGGCAAAACATGAATCCAAGGAAGATAAAATTTTCCAGAAGTTTAAAACTAAAATAGCCCTTGAGCCAGAACAGGTAAACTGGAACTCCTACAACTCTTCTTTGTGTTCTTCTCAGGTGGTGTTTTCAGGGTACAGTCCCTGAAAAGTAACTACGATAAAGGTAGTCTCTTATAGTAGGGATTCTTCACACAGATGGTCTGCTGATCCTGTCAGTAATTACTGAAAAACGACAGGTTATGCTCTTTATCACGTGGGGTCCATATTTTAAAGAAGGCATCAGACACAGATGAGTAAGATGTTGCTTGTAATACACGCAGTTTGCGCCAGTGGCAGCAAGAAAGGAACAGGTATTTTTGCCCATTTATCCAACAGGAACCTTTTGCTTGTAAAACCAACATGATACGTTAACACAGACACTGGTTTTCAAGAAAAATGGGCTTTGGGTTTGGGAATAATCCTTGATTCTAGAGTTACATGAAGAGCTCTGATATAATTGCATCTACAGTGTGAAAAAATTAGAGGTCAGTTGTGAGGATGAAGGGGGAATTGGAGGCACATAGTAAGTGCTCAGCAAATGTCTCCCTTCTTCATCTCTGTTCTTGAATTAATATCATTCCCCTTAAAGACAATCATCTGAAACCTAAATCACTGAAGAAAGTTCAGCTAAATGCCTAAAAAGCAGTCACTGAATTAAATAAATACCCAGGGGAAGAACATCATAAGAACAGACCTAGGTCCTAAACACTGCGAAGGTAGTTTTTAGTAATGCATATGCCTTTTTGTTTAAGACTTTTTTTCTTAATTTGACAGGCAGAGATCACAAGTAGGCTGAGGCAGACAGGGAGCGGGGGAAGCAGGCTCCCTGCTGAGCAAAGAGCCCGATGCGGGGCTCCATTCCAGGACCCTGAGATCATGACCTGACCTGCAGGCAGAGGCTCAACCCACTGAGCCACCCAGGTGCCCCGATATTGCACATGCTTTTAACAAAACCTAGGAAAGCCACTCGGTTACGATGCAGTTTCTCTCTGTAGTATTTATCTAAGCAACTGTGTATTATTTGACATTTGTCCCTTTAAATTTCTTTAAAAGTATGTATGTATGTATTTTGAGAGCAGTACAAGCAGGGGCAGGGGGGCAAAGCAAGGGAGAATTTTTCATTTCAAGGTTTTGTTTATCATTCGCGAGAGCATGCTGAAAGAGCGCGCGCGCAAGGGGAGGGGGAGAGGGACGAGCAGACACCGTGCTGAGCCTGGAGGCTCCATCTCACAGCCCTGAGACCGTGACGTGAGCTGAAACCAAGATTCAGGTGCATAACCAGTTGTGCCACCCAGACACCCAGGTCCCTTTTAAAATTTTTAACTGAGGTTCCTTTCACTGTGAAAACAAGCAGACTCTGGGCTACATTTTGGATTCAGAAGCTGGTAATGGAGAAACAGGATTATGGTGGGACCCTCACAGAACATTCCAGGATTCAGATTCTAACCATATCATCCTCTACGAAATGGGATTTTGGTATCCTGAGTCAGATAAGCTAACATACCTGATTTGATAACACTGAAAAAGTATTAATGGTGCCGGGTCTGAGGTGGGGGAACAGTAAAACTTTCGGGTGAGTGTTCATCAAAGTTCCCCAGATTATTACCCAGTCGTGCTGGCAGTTGAGAGGAGATGGTGGAGGTTTGCTCATGACGCTGGCTGATCTTAGGTCCTCAGATACGGCAGAGGGATTGCACCCATCTGGATCTCTGGTGAAAATATCCCTCAAGAAAAGGATATTCCAAATTGCCCCTGTGGTGCCAAGAGAATATTTGAATTCCAGGTATGACCTTAAATGACTATTTTAATATATAATTGCCGTAAGTGAGGTTATTAAATGCCTCAAAACTTTACTGAAGTAACACATGCACACGGGTCCTGTTGTTACCACAGAAAGTGCCTCCCACCCCAGAGCTTACTCCCTGGAGGCAACGGTCTTGCGGTTTCGTCCGGTAGTGCTCTCAAGTAAATGCTTTTTCTGATGACTTGTCAGTCTCTGGACATTATCCGCTGACTGGCACGTAGTCCTTATTCCCTCTGGACCATCCTCCCAACTCCCAGTGTGGTTACGTCATTGTTTTTAGGGTCTGCCTTTTGTTCCCTTGTAATTGTGACTATTCCTTCTTTTCCCGTTATGGCACTTAAGGTCTTTGTACTTGGTGACAGGAGCGTTTTAGAGGCCTTGGTAAGGTTTGGTCTTAGTTTGTGGATTTGTTAGGGAAACAGGTGGATATAGTCATTAAGACAGATGGTTTATCAAAAGGAATTGTTAGGGTCACAGTCCATTTGGGTTAGGTAGAAGTGCTCTTGTACTGTGATCTGCTAACCTTACAGAGGGTTAGGAGGAGGGAATACCTGTTGCTTGGGGGGGAAAGGAATTGTGAAGACTGTATCCGATAGTAATTGGTTCTCAGTGTCAAAGCCAGAGAGCAAAAAGACCAGGGGCCCTGCAATCACTCTGGCAAGGAAGGTCTGTTGAAAGCAGTGCTCCTTGCCTCAGCGCAGGGCTCTAATCGTGTCATCCTCTTCTCAGGTCATGCCCCAGCTGCTCAACCACCTGAAGGCCGACAGACTGGGCAGGAGTGTTGACTGGGGTGTCCTGGCTGTCTTCACCTGTGCTGAAAACTGTAGACTGGGGACTGGCTACACAGAGGAATTTGTTTGGAAGCAAGATATAACAAATACACCCTGAAGAGAATGTAAAGCCTTAAAAATGCGCATAGTCTCTTAAACCTTGCAAGTCCATTTATCCTAAGAAATAATTACAGCAGAGACAAAGGTATAAAGATGTTGTTTTAGATGAGTTTACGGTGTGTAAATATTCGTGCAACAAAAATGTCTGGTGACAGGTAATTAAGTTCTGGTGAATCCCTACAGAAGGTAATGCAGTCTTAAGGATACACACCTATACGCACAAGATACAGGTTTCAACGGACACAAAGATACTCACAATATGTTTGTATTTTTAGAAAAGTATTTATACATGTGTATGTCTCCAGAAATCTGGAAAGATACATACTTAGCGTGAGCAAGTTAACCAAGGATGGTGGGAATAAGTGAAGTAATCGTTTGCCTATGTGTGTTTCTTTCTACAATAAAAACGGGTTAACTGCCTAAGTAAGATAATCATCATGCAGAGCATTTTCCTTACTAAAATTTGCAGTGTTAAAACCGAGAAAACTATGTGGGTAAAACCCAAAGAGACATGACTGGTAATCAGGTCGGTGTCACCAGCTCTAGGATATGTGGAAGCCCAGGACACTGGAAAAATACAAACCCCAGTAGGCAAGTGAGCGTGGTGCATACCTGACACTACAAGAGAAGCTCTACTTTAAAACTGACCTTGATCCGCCAGCAGCACTGCTCAGACAGGAGATGCGAGGCGAGAATGACTGCCTTTCTCCCCTCCCCCCACTCCTCCCATGCCAGTGTACACGTGGGGAATAAATCTAAGTGAGGAGGCAGGCATTGGCCACTGGGGTTTCCCTAGGGAAATCTGGCCCAGAGGTCAGCTAAATCTGTTGACTGTGCTAAGGCTCCTCCCAGCCCCTCAGGTTTCACAGTTACGCTGTGACCGTCCAGTTCTTCCAGCACCAGTGATGCCTGCCCAGCACTAAAGCAAGCCTGAAGGGACACTGATGCGGATCAGCACTGGAAAGCCAACAGCTAATCTAGCCGTAAGTGCATCATTTTGTTAAATGTCACCATTAGTTAATGTCACTACACTTTTGTACGAGAAGTCCTGGTCTGTTAGCCCACGTCTTACGCGTACCGATATACATACAGTTCATAAACGTGTGTGTGAAATACAGGGAAATCGCTCCATATGAGAAACCAAAGTATCGACTTACGACAGGGAGATTTGTTACTGGGCTGTAAAGAGGGAGGATGGTGTCCCAGTTTTCAAGCTGGGAGAGCAAAGTCTGAGAATCCCATATACAGTGATAGAGCCAGTGGCTACTGGAGGACACATTACAAGTTGTCATCAACTGGTGGCGAGAATCAACACTTGGTGGGAAGTTCGGTGGCTTCTGGAAAACTGGGCTAGTGGGGGGTCTTCGCACTGCGAACTATAGTGAGTTTCCCAAAGCAGAATAGTGCCCTGACTGCTAAGGACTTGAACAAAATCCATTAGGGTCTGTCTGGAGACCTCACTAGATGATTTTAACATTCTCACAGGCATGTTGGCAATAACCAGCCAAGCTGTTCTTGAGGTGTGTACCCCTACCAGGTTCTGGCAATTAGGGTGAGGGTTCACAGGGTCTTTCTGCTTACAGAGTAGTCCAAATCAACAGAAAGAAAAAGTCACAGTGCCAGCTAGCATCCATATTAAAGGATGGCCATCATATGCAAAATAACACAAAATAGAAATAACCTAAAACCAAAAATTTACATAAAAACACCAAGCAATTAAGTTACTTCTAGAAATGTCAAGATGCATTGAAAAACACTAAAACGATCACATCTCACCCAGTAAGTTCCTGTGAAAGATGTCCTTCACTATCGCTGATCCACATACTCCACTGTCCCCCAAAACTTCTGTTTGGCTCAGATGCTGCCTGACCCAGCTGCTGACCCGTACCAAGAGAGCAATACACTGACCTGTCCTTTGAGTTCAGATACTGAATGCTGGTCTCGTCATCCCCTGACAATTCAGAGATCACAGCAAAATAAGTATGTGTAAGTGCTTTTTGATAATCACCTTGGTGGTGGTATGATCTGAGACGACTGCGTGTATAATGTAAGGTGAAGGAAGTGACTGTGGGATTCCCTAACTCTTCTGTCCATGGTCTTTAAAAAGTTAAGGATTCTCAGTGTAAAAAACGTGTGATTAAATGAAACTTCTGTAGTCCTGAATTTGAATTGGACACATCAATATGAACTCAGGTATTTTATCTCAAAAGCTTTTAAAGGGAAAGAAGCAATCATTTATCCTGCTATATGAAATGTCTCACTTTATAAAAAGTATTCCATGAACGACTAGAAAATAAGTAGAATTTCATCATGTGCAACCCACTAACAAATTCACAGATTAATGAGAAGACAGACAACCGGGCACTGGATTCCTAACAACAGAGCATGCCACTTACATAGTCTTTACAGAGGGACCAAGCCTCTGGATGTAGCCGCTCATCTGCAGGAAATCGAACACAGGAACATGCTGAACTACACCATGTGTTTGAAAATAGCAAAACACATACTGTAAGAAACTACCAGCTGTAAATTTGGCTGTACATTTTAAGGAAAAGATAGGGAGGGGCACCTGGGTGGCTCAGTGGGTTAAAGCCTCTGCCTTCGGCTCAGGTCATGATCCCGGGGTCCTGGGCTCGAGCCCCGCATCGGGCTCTCTGCTCGGCGGGGAGCCTGCTTCCTCCTCTCTCTCTGCCTGCCTCTCTGCCTACTTGTGATCTGTCTGTCAAATAAATAAATAAACTCTTAAAAAAAATAAAATGAAGGAAAAGATAGGGAACGGGACTATAAGAAGTAAAACAGACAAGAAAAGCATCCATTTCTTTTTAAATGGAAGATCACCTCATAGTAATTTAGGTGAGGACTATAAAACTCAAGATTAATGGTTACTGGTGGGCGGGGGGGGGCTGTGGCTGGACTGGCACAGGAGGGGCCCCTGGGACACGGGCAAGGTTCTGAGTGGTGGCTGGAGGGATGTCTACTGAGTAATGCGCTATGCTAAATACTTGTTCTGTTAGGTCTGTGCGTGCTGTTTCACAGGGAAAAGCTTCAGAATCCAGTAAAGTGACCGGGAATAAGATCAATATGTCAACAAGAATGGAAATGTAATAAAAAATTACATTAATAATAGGGCCAGAGAATACTTAGGAATTAACTTTTATGAAATATAGAAGCCCTCTATGAAAAAATTATAAAACTTGACTAAAGAACCTAAGAGAAGACCTATTATGTGGAAAAATACTTGTTTCTTGCATGGAAGGAGGACATTGGATTGATGGACGGCAGGGGCTCCTCTCCTAGGCATGTTCACTACAGAAATGTCTGCTCTGAACCACAAACAGGCATGCAAGGGTGCTCCCTACCGCGCTGTTCATGATGCTCCAACACTGCCCATAAGGAAGGAAACCGGTAAATACGTAAAGGTACGTAGGTGAGGGTGTTGTACATCTGTGATGCTATCAGACTTCACGACATACTGACTGAAAAACAGCAAAGCTATAAAACAACAAATGCTTTGGTATGATCTAAACACGGGACCAAAAGGAAAGAATCTGCACAGAAGAGGGCTTCGGAGATACCTGGGGAACTAAGCAAAAGAGAGAGAAGGAAAGAACTCCTCCTTTCTGATTGCATGCCTCTGAACTGCTTGAAAGTACACTTTGACAAATTAACTCAAACAATAAAACCCAAGAACTTACAAATTTCCAGGTAATACTCATGAGAAAAACAAACACCTCACCAGGCTGTACACACAGCCCAGCTTTCATACTGAAGGACTCTGGCCAAGGGGCAAATACCACAGCTGAGGCCAGCGTTTGCTCACCTGAGAAAGAAGACAAAACCAAATTACAGGTTTTGTGAGAATTACAGGCAATGAATGTATCGGGGAAACAGGAGGTGCTCGATATATGGAACATAATAAACCCATGTTTCGTGAGCAATCTTAAATTTTCAGGTAGCTCATCCATTATCACTGGACATACCATGAAATGTTGATTGAAACAAGCAAGCAAGCACACACTGAAATGGTTTCAGGCAATTATATCTAAAATACAACTTGAACAGTATGATCACACGAATCTTACAAGGTATCATTTATGACATCAATCGAACACTCTTATAAACAGCATTTATTGTACAGAGTACTCTGAAGGAAGAGAGATGCGCGCAGCCGTCCGCGCTCATTAACGCGGCTCCTCTGGCCTGCAATACTGAGAAGGCGGAATGTGTCTGGCACAAAAATAACCCCTAGGAGTCACGAATTAGAAAAACAACACTTTTAAAAAAGATTTTTACTTTTCTGGTAGAAATATAAAAACTGTGGTTTATGGGGAGGAAATTAAACAAAAGAAAAAGTCCAATCAATTGCAGAAGTGGTGGCTCTAACACTTGAAGTTTTGTGCCTCAAACCAACTTGCTGACAGCGGCGTGTGTTAAAATCTACATATAAATAAACGGGCAGCGCTGCCCAAACAGCAGCACAGTATGAGCAACTTACATAACGCTGCGGCGTTCTCTCTGCAGAAGGGAGACCGCTTCTCGGCAACCCCGCCAGGAACGCGTGCTGGAGAGCTTCACGGGGTGCTGCAACCCACAGAACATCATCTTACCAAATCGGGGCCGTCCGCAACACCACCATTTACATGTACCAAAACGGATTTGTTTTAAAAACAAGTGGGTGCAGAGGCAGGAGTACATAACAGCCATTATGTCGTCTTCCTGAAACCCTTTAGAATAGGGTAGATATTTTCAAATGCTTCATAAATTTCCGCTCTGACTTTAGCACCTATGAAGACAAGTTGGAGAAGAGAGTCGGAAAAAGCTTTTAACATGTTAAAGAGGTAAAATTACTTTAAAACTACAAGCACAATTCTCTCCATTACCAGTTAGACACAGACACTAAAACATTAATGAGGGAATCCCTTGTCACAAAGCTGTTTTTGTTTTTAGAGTATTGTTTTCCTAAAATGGGTTTTTAAAACTGTTAAAAACTGTGCCCTGGATGGCTGCAGCTTCCTTCAGCAGTTCACATGTGACCAGTGTCAGTCCCTGCATCAGCACGTGACCTGAGCAGTTTGTGACCCAAGCGCGCGGAAGCAATGACCAAACCTTATTCTCCCACTTACTGCCTTCAAGCAAACTCTTCTGAACCTTCGCCTGTTGTCTCCAAATGGCATTGCTGATGAATCTCAAAGTTCTACTGGAGGGTTTCCAACTTAAAATGTCATCTCTTAACCAATGTAATGGCTACCTTCCCTGCTCTCCCCACTACGGGTCTTGCTGTGGTCTACTTTCCCTGCTCTCCCTTGCCCTGGCGGATATGTTTCTCATCAGACTGTTAGGGTGGAGGAGAACAAAGGGGCAAAGGCATCCGTCTGTACCACTTGCTAGCCACCTGTCCCCAATCTGTGAAACTTCTTCTCGGCACTGAGA